CATATCAGATCAAGATATCATAGCATGGCATAGGAGATGTATGTAGACATCTATGTAATACAGATTCACAACTGACCGGCTGATAAACCATTGACAGACTGTTTACTCACACTTTGATGGAATCATCAGAGGCCAAAGCCTCCACAGCCTACAAATGAGTGTGCATGTGCACTTCGAGTTCAAGCTCGGCTAAAAGAAAAATCGTCTCGAGGCCTTATAGCAATTTTGGGTCGATTTTGGATCGATTTTGGACCGATTTTGAGTTGATTTTGGCCGATTTTGGGTCGATTTTGGGTTTCCACCCAAAATCAACGCAGATTATGACCACCCTACACCAGATGCAATGAAATCTGCAGGCTTCCGGTTATACACGCTACTGTCAGAAGGAAAGGGAGAGAGAGGGAGACGGGGAGAGAGGTAGGGACTAATTTTGATGCGCCAACAAAAACAAAGCACGGTCTGTACCCACCAGGAAATAGAGTCGATAAAGAAAGAGAGAGGGAGGAGAGGGAGGAGAGGGAGGAGAGGGAGGAGAGGGAGGAGAGGGAGGAGAGGGAGGAGAGGGAGGAGAGGGAGGAGAGGGAGGAGAGGGAGGAGAATGAGGAGAGGGAGGAGAGCGAGAGAAGGAGACGGAGAGAGGGAGAGAGGGAGAGAGCGAGAGAGGGAGAGAGGGACAGTTGCCATCCATCTGTGATTTTGATGCGCCAGACGCACTTGAAGTTCTTGAAAAGAAAATTCAAGTGAGGAGGCAAGCCTCCTTTGGATTTGGTAAATCCACTCACTGGTTCTTTCAAACTTGTTGACATGTGACAGGCCACCGTCTTGTTCGAACAGCACATCATATATGTTCGATGGATGGAGGAGATAATCGAACTGAATCGAATCATTCGGCTCGCTCCGTCAAACGATAGGCCGTGAGGAGAGCACGCACCTCCGTCACGAACATGTTCGGTGCGTTGAGCCACTGGGAGACTTTGTCCAAGCTTGTATAGAACCCCTCCGCCGACTTCGTACCCTGTTCGTGCGCGATCACCACCCAAGGGAACTCCAAAAGCGATGAGTTCAGATGCGCCAGAATCGATCGATTTGTCACAAGCCCAAATCCCAAGTGCCTCGGACTTAGAATATGGTTACGAGAAGCTTCCTCCAACAGCTCAATCATGTCTGATGTCTCCTTCACATCTTCTCCAGAGAAAAGCCAACCCTCATCATCATCATCTTCTTCTTCTTCTTCTTCTTCTTCACCCTCTTCTTCTCTCTCCCCATCTACTTCCTCACTTTTTCCACCCTCTTCTTGTCTTTTTCCACCCTCTCCTTCTCTCCCTTCGCCCTCTTCTTTTCTCTCTCCGCCCTCGTCTTGTCTGTTTCCACTCTCTTCTTGTCTTTTTCCACCCTCGTCTTGTCTTTTTCCACCCTGTTCTTCTTGTCTTACTCCACCCTCTTCTTGTCCTACTCCACCCTCTTCTTGTCTTATTCCCTCGTCTTCTTCTCTTATTCCACCCTCTTCGCTCGACCATCCGGAATTGCATCTGTTAGTCATACAACCTCTTCTGACAGCTGCCAAGTCAGCAGCAGACTGTTCAGATATTTGCCCCTTTCCATCGTTCTGGGAAGTGCAAGAATTACAGGAAGGACAGCTATCAGAGCATCCATCAGGATGTCGGGGAGGTGGATCCTCCTCGCCTGCCTTGCAGGCGGATAACCGCCTGCAATCCACATTCGAGCTCCAGGCCTCATATCTTGTCTGGCCACCACCATCATCATCATCACCTCTCTCTCCCAAGCAGTTCTCCACCGCCCCCACCATCTGTGCTCGATCCATCATCCTACAGCTATCCCCCAATGCATAAATACATTTTTTATCCCCTGCCAATTGCCTCCACTCGTCGCTCGTCAAGCTTGTGGTAGCCGTCGTCACTTCACCTAATTTCCCCTCGGGATGAAGTTCAGCGGGCTTCTGGCACCAAGCGCCACGTGGCGCCACATCCGGCCTCCACCGCCAACGCTTGACAGCACACATACCGAACCCCTTCCTCACTCTAATCCGTTCCAGAGTGAGTGGGCACGATTGCCCACCTTTCCCGTATGGAAATATAACCAAATTCCTCCTCCAGTCACGCACACCCCTTCGCCCATGCCTCTCATTTACAGCCATCCACATGTTCTTCGCAGGTTGAATACCTCGACCGCACACCTTCGCATCACCTTCTTCTCGTACAACTCCTGCTTCCAAGACCTCACTTTCTACATTTCTTCCTCTCATCTCCTCTCTCTCCCCCTCCTCCTCCACCCCCTTCTCCTCCTCCCCCTTCTTCTCCACACCCTTCTCATGGATTCCCTTCTTTTCCTCCCCCTTGTCCTCCTCCTCCTCCTGCTCCTCCTCCTCCTGCTCCTCCTCCTCCTCCTCCTCTTCTTCCCCTTGCTCTTTCTGCTCCTCCTCTACCTCTTCCTCCTCTTCCTTCTCTTGCTGTTGCTGCTGAGATTGCAACTGCACCAACTCACCAGACCGGCAGTTGTCAAACAAGACGATCGACTTGTCCACTGCATCGATAAACGCTAGCCAGTCCTTGATGGAGCTTATTCTGTGCAGCAGGCCGGATTCCCCATCATTCCTGGAGAGCACACGGCGAATTCCAGCAAGGATGGCCCTTGCTGTCATTCTTCCGGTGTGAGGGTAGTGCTGTCCTTGGCGAATGAGGAAAACACTTGGCCACTCTGTGGTCCCCAAAGCGCTGGCTGCGCCTTTATCTCGATGTGCATAGACATACCGCAGCGTTAAATTAGGGTAGAGGTCCGGAGAATTACCTACTTCTCGCTCAATGTCACGAATCACTCGCCTGGATAACCCACACCCTGTAGCAGGAGCATCAGCGCCAACATAGCAATAACAATCATGATTATTACTATTATTACTGTTATTGTATTATTATTGAATTTTATAATTAAATTAATATTAATATTTTTTTATATACTTGCTGGTAATTGATCATTTGAAGAGAAAAACCATTAACAAAAAACGAAAAAAAAAAAAAACGACACACTGCAGAATTTTCCTTCAAGGAGGAGAGAGGAGTACCTGATATAAAAATAAATAATAAAATTTCGTAAGCACATCGGTGGCATTGGTAACGGCGGTGACACTCCGACGGATGGCATAGGAGCCCGAGAGCGGGAAAAAAAAAAACATAAAAAAGAGAAAAAGCAAGCAAGCAGGCATATATATATATAGTCGCACTGTGAAATATATATAGTCAAACAGATATATATAGTCAAACAGAGATGCCCGGTAAACCGTAGGCAGAGAGGGAGAAGAGGACAACAAACGAGGGGCTGTGACAAACTGTTTCGTCGGAGTTTCACCGACTCATCAGGAGGCTGAACCCTCGACAGTCTGCATAATCCCCACAAACTGATTACACTGTAAGTAATGATCCACCTTAAGCATCAACGACTGCCCGACAACTGATACCCTGAGGTGGGCACCAACCACTGCCCTCACGGTACCTGTGGCAAAACTCAAAGCAGACTATCACTCACCCACACCAGATGGAAAACTCTACAGACTGTATGATGAGTCGGTGAAACTCCGACGAAACAGTTTGTCACAGCCCCTCGTTTGTTGTCCTCTTCTCCCCCCTCTCTGCCTACGGTTTACCGAGCAGCAATCTTTGACTATATATATATTGTCACATCACTACAAACTAAAAGAGCGCACTTTGCGGAACAAAGAATAAAAGCAAAAAACGGGCACAGTGATAACATGCAAAAATAAAAAGAAAAAGAAAAAACAAGGGCAGATTGAAACCATTAAATTTCTCATTCTTCTTTGAACTCCACCTCCACTGTGCCTCTCACGTGCAAGGCTCGCCACGTTGATGAAGTTGAGCGCGAGCTGCCCCCATCCCCGTA